GTGACTGACTCACCGTATGAAGAGCACTGTACGTGCTGCGCATTAATAGCCATAAACTCTGAGAGTTCAACGGCGGTTCTATTACGAGACACCGGCACCCGATTTATTGCTTCCCGGACCTTTTCGAGCACACTATTCGGCAACGGAGCTTTGAATAGTTCCAGTCGACTCGGAACGAATGCATCGATATTCCCCAAATGAAGATTCTGACCATCATAATCTGCACCTCGCACTTCTTCGCAAATATTGCTGAGAACTGCATTGGCCTCCTTCAGAAAGAGTGGGGCGAGCTTCTCATCGACATTATCCACAGCTATTTCAACTTTCGCAAAAGCAGAAAAATACTCCCAGCCAGGAAGTGCTGCCCGCCTTTGTGCCCTCGACCTAGCGTCTTCGGTGTCACCAAAGACGTGTTGATTGGACGGAATGGAAACGGAATCATCATTATCTATGGTACATCCATGAGCCCGTAAAGGTTCTGCATCTTCCCCCATAAATATGCCGGACAAATAGTCTTCGATAACATTTTGAGCTGCATTCACAGCCGAACTATCTCTCTGAACTGCTGAGGAGGTAGAATTTTGGATAGCAGCCAATTCTTCTTCGTGATTCTGGCATCAGACGAAATGCTTTCACCATCAGAACATGACACTTCTTGCATATCGGCAAGTTATTGTGAGAAAGAACGATCTCCCTCTTTGATTGACGGGCTTCGTGGAGCCTCATTCGCGTTTTGTAGCGGCTGGAGGGCGGGTGGAGTTTCAGGCACTTCAATATGAACAGAATCTAGAGTACTAAAATGGCCAGTTTTGTTCCTGACCACCCATTGGGGGTTCTATATGACAGCTATTGCCAATGAAATTATTTCCATTTTCAAATTTCGATCGTTCCGCCTGATGAGACATTGCCCCGCAGACAGCATTAGCAACGTGTTCGTCTTCAGAAGAGGAGTGGTTGAAACCATGGTCACTTCCGAGAACAGGGTCAGCAGGGACTACAGCTTTCGATTGCTGATTAGTGCTGTAGGCGTTGTTTGACATATTGTTACTGGGGGAAACGTGATGGGGACGACAGAATAGGATGGAGACGACAGAATAGGATGGAGACAACGGAAGTTTGTAAATGGATGGACCGGGTGATTGTAGAGCGACAAAAGGTAGAAGGATTCTCGGGGGAGCGGCAGAACTTTGAGAGCTGGAAGGGGTGAGAAAGTGAGGTCACCTAGGTCTGAGTGTCCTTCAGTGATGATCGGAGAGAAAAAAGTGATATTTTGCAGTGATTCTGAGCGACATCACTCGTTTTGCGTGCACAGTAGTGATGATCACAACACTGTTGTGAATGTTCACTGCACTGTGGTGAATGTTCACATCACTGAAGTGATCACTCACTCAAATTCAAGTGATGAAATCACCAAAAAACATCACTTTTTCTACCTGCTGGTCACCATCCCTCACCATTTCTGAGTGATTGAAAAATCATCACTCTGGGAGCATAGGGATAGCGGCTTGAGAATCGCAGTTTACTGGGCGCGTCGACTGAGTGGAATCTTCTGCAGCGTACAAAAGAGGGAAATAGGTGATTTTGTCTTCAGGAAAGGTCTGTGTTCAGGAAGCGTCAGTGGGCGCGAAGCGCAGCCTGATGCGCGCCACTACTTCGCTCATGGCGATGCTATCGGCATGAGACATGCATGCATGGGACGTATGCACGGGTTGACGATGAATAGGTAGGATACTGTACCCAGGGTACAAGATGGTACAGGATGGACATGGATACATGCCGTTTCGAAGCAATGCAGGCCTGTTGCGTGGTGAAGGCCTCCAGCTGTTGAAGGTGGTGTGGAAACGAGCCAATTGCTGCGCAATGGCAGTGGCAATCGGTAGCTCAGGCACGTGCCTCAGGAGGCACGGTGCCCTTCTCTAGCCAGATCTTGAGATATAGAGAGAGAGACGACGGGCGCATACGTATCATGGTATGGTATGGGAATGAGAGGCGTTCGTTGAAGAGATGGTGCGAGATGCACGGTTCTGTATCAAAAAAAAAACAAGTGCAACTCAATGACAGAAAAAAGTAGAGGATGGGTGCCAAGTATGTAACATGTTAGGCTACGGCGCGTCGCTCTCTCCTGTCTCGGCCGCCGGCTTCAACAAGAGCAACAAGGGCAAAAAAGGCAACAGGCACTGTCGTTGTTGAATTATGTACACGTCAATAGTTTGTTTTTATGTTCCCCCAACCGCGGGGGGAAGAGATTCAGAACTGTTAGCGAAAAAACCTGACACTACTATATACACACACGAGGTTGCGACAGAGAAAAAATTAGACGAAACGTCGCAAGGGGCAGGTATCACCGATTCAAACCCGGGACGACCTGGGGCTGCTCCATATCCTCATCGTCCTTGATCCTAACAAAGCGTCCCTTCACGCGGGGCCGTGCATCGGCGAGCTTCTTGCGGCAGTCGTAGCGAATAAGTTTTCCAAACCTGCGCTCTCTGCGCTTTTGCCTAAACCTGACCAACGCAGCCTCCCTGGTCTTCTTCTTAAACTCGCGAATGAGCTCCTGCTTCTCGTGCTCGATACGATCCTTTCGCTCTGCCTAATTCTCGGGCTTGACGGCGCCCTGGGGGCGGTGTTGCATGTGCGCGGCATGGGCGGGCGGCATGACCATGCCTTGAGGGAAGCCCGGGTGCTGGGGACCGGCAAACATGACCATGCCTTGCGGGGCATACATGGGCCCGGGGGCGGAGGGCATCACCATTTGCGGGTGCTGACCGATCATGAACATGCCGTGCGGGTGCTGGTGGGGGTGCGACGGGAGGAAGAAGGGGTGCTGGATCGGGTGCTGGACGGGAGCAGCAGCAGAGGCGGCGGCGGCGGAAGCGGCGGCGGCGGGGTGCGGCTGGACAGTTCCTTGGTCCTTGGGGTCGGAGGAGGAGACGGTGAGTGGAGATTGTGGAGAGACCGGGGAGGAGTTGGAGGGGACCTTTGCGTAGCCGCTGTTTGGCGAGACGTGTCGTTGTTGGTGGTGTGCGGAGTGCGGAAGCGGGGAGGAGGATGTGGCGGGGGAGGCGAGGGAGGCGGGAGGCAAGTGCTTGTCTTGGTGGGGGCGGTGGTGGTCGGCGGGGTCAGCGGCGGGGGA